TTTTGGGCGTTCTGACGTCTTAGGAATATAAACATTTCTTCCATAATGTAAATATTGTTCAGAGAGAAAGGCAGAATACAGAAAATAAGCTATAAGTCAGACGATGACCTCCGGTATTTAAGAAGTAACAATTAACAGAACATATTTACGAGTAAAATCAACTTTTAGGCTTGCAAATTGTACCCATGTTCTCTTATCCTTTGATTAGTGATATTATGATGTGAATATTTTGGTTTGATTAAAGACTGAGAATTCGAATTTCATGTAGACCTAATGTAAAGATTGTTCCACCATGTTGTGGCATGGTTGGTTTCTCATACCTCCACGTGACCATTATGAACATTATCCCAATCTCAATCATTCACCCTACTACATTAACACTACCATCCTTCCAACATACCTACTATCCTTCGTCAAGTGGAAGAAAAAGGCAAACCAACACTAATTAGCTGCCCAGAAAAGGAGACGATATTAGACCTGAGCCGCCACCCTCACGTAGACTCGAAATGAGTACGGCACTCGTCAACAAAACTGCGTATAAATTAGCCATGAATATTATAAACTAATCTGAAGAAACTACTTCACGAATACTTTCTTACTAAAAGTAAGATTAACTAACTAGTTTAATATTTGCGGTATTTGACTGCTAGTTCTAAAGTTTAATACATCACAATTGGCAAATTCATATATTTATTCATAAAATAATCTATCTGCTATCAACCTTGAGCCAAAATCAGGATCAGCGAATGATAAGGAGTGACTCACCTGTGGGAGGACGCTCCTTGGGGTAGCAGATGCGGAACAAGCCCTTAGTACGCGTGTAGTAGTAGTATTTGGAGTTCATGTTCTCCACGATGCTCTCTTGGTCCCCTCTCTTCGTTGCTTGTTGCTAAAACAAAAGAATACACTCATTAGAGATCTGTAACTATAAATGGTCCTATGCACTCATTCTCTAACCAACAAAGTTTGTCTATGCATTGGCAGATTGCCACAATAGTCCAGTTATAAACAGCGTGAATATAATTGTTATTGAACTTCCGGAACATTTCACTGTAATTATATCTCAAAACCATTAAAGTTAATTGTTTTTGCCTTCTACACAAGTTTGCAAAAACTGGGACGATATGTACAATCAAGGTTTTATTAATTTAATTTTGCTCCTCTACTGAGGATACGTATGCACACATGGCTACGCTAAATTTATATATAATACGTTCGCAAGAAAACAATGAGAAATACGACGATGCAATCAAAACATGTGGGAAACTAGGCGTTTCCCCACGGGAGGGGTACTTGAACCTTTGCACTTCACATAACTGGATCGACAGAGAGAAAAAAAAACACGCACATTAAAAAGAGAAAGTGACAAAGTACAGCGAAAGCATTGTTCTTCTGTTATTTTCCTTCAGAGATAAGGGGTCTCAGCAAGTTGAAGTACTACTACATTTCCATCACATAAGAAATCGTGGAGCTGGTGCACCTATGGAATGTGGCGTGCAGCTCGGCGACTTGGCATTTCATTCAGAGCGGGTCGCTTTCTCACCTCCAAACAGTTCGCCGGAGAGATTAAACACCGCAGGCGCACTGGGCTTAGTGTTTGAGCAACCTTTGAAGTCTTTCTGAAACTCCCTCAGTCAGAAATGAAGTTGAGTCTTCAGGTTAGATTTCTTGAAAAGACGAGTCAGGTTTCATCCTACAGAAAACGCTGTGGTGGCTACACAACCTAAATACTGCGTTGCGAATATGTGCGGTTTCACAATACTTCAACCTTCTCGCCATTTATATTGGTCATGTATTATAATGAACACAAATTAATGAAAACGACGAACAAGTTCTGAGTTCTGTAAAAATATTGGTGCATCCTATTAACTAGAAAAGAAGTATTTACGCGGGGACATTATGATCAGAGAAAACTTACACTTTTTCATTGAGAATCAGGTCTAAATAAAGATTTAGGAGGAACACTAAACAAAAGTGAGAAAAGAAATAAAATTTCGCATGTAATTTATTACTTTTAATTTAAAACTTATCGTGAGTACATGTCTGTAAGCCTTGCCACAGTAAGCTAAATTAATCCTCTTCCTACATGGATTTCACTCTTATGGAAACCTAAAAAAATCATTTGCATTTCTCACTATTTAAAAATAATGATAACCACCTTAGTACCTTTTACCTTTCATGTCAGACATCTACATGGAGTTATGTTGAATATTTCTGTAAGTGCGCCATCATCTATCTAGAATTCTAATGATGTGAATGCATGTTTTCTATTCAGGAAAGAAACCGACTATCGCAACTCAACGTCGCTCTACGGCTCCGAGATAACAGTTACAAGATCTTTTATTTTTCACGACGTTAATTCCCCCGATCCGATTTCACCGACCCATTCCAAAACGTGCGTTTCAAAGAAAGTCTACTCGAAAGGGCAGATTATGTGCTGGGCAGTAGATCGAAACGTAAAACGTAACGGTATATTTTCTGATTTAACAGTAAACATTCAGACAAAATTCAGAAAAATATTGACGCCAGAAAAAAGTCACGATTCGTATTTCAGGCACAGGTTTGGAGTAATTGTTCACACCGAACGTTCATTTTAATGATTGCAGTGTTCTATCGCTTCTTATTAGTTGCCATTGACACAGGATGTTGTGCATTTCTAACAATTCAATATTTACGATTTATGATTCTTTTTTAGTGTCATTAGAACTTTCTCATTTTATTAAACCGTTATAATTTTCTTACCATTCTTAGAGATGCATTTAAACTGCGGAATCAAATTCAATTGTTTTTGCTCTGGAAATATTTCATTTTGTATTACCGGGACACCATTGTAATAAGTCATTCTAAAGATATAAAATAATAATAATAATAATAATAATAATAATAAAAAACATTGAATGAAACGTATACTGGTCATAATGTCACATACGTTTTTTAATATTTACACTCATGAACTACTCAAATGAACGGGCACTTTTTGAATTCATTGCACCAATTGAAGGTCATTATACTTGTCCCATAAACTAGCGACGTTTCCTGATACTTATCCATTTCCTTCTTTTTCTACGTACGTCTTTGGGTTAGTGTCGGGCCACTGTGCTGCGAGGTACATGAAAACCATCCGAGGCACTCGAAGTGTCCCACTCACTCCGCCTCCACAACGGTCGCTTTCACGGCCGCCTTAAAACCACAAACTTTCGGAATTGAGTGGTCTTCTAGCGGTCGCCCCATAACTTCGTAAGTCTCCCCGCGGTTCTTGCTTCACGTTGCGCGCTGGCTGGGCGCAGAGGAGTGGGCTTTACTAAGCGAAAAGGAGGAGGTGGAGGCGACGTTTGAGGTCTTAGTGTTAGTGGTGGCGAGAAATTGATGACGGTGGTAGTGGAAGTGAGCAGGGTGGTGATTGAGATGGAGAGGTTGCTGATTGTGATGGCGGAAGTTGATGGTGATCGTGGTGATGGAGGTGGTCGTGGTGGAGATGGGGAAGGTGCTGATGGTAGTGACTGAGTGAGGAAGGGGGAGACAGTGATGGTTAGAACAGGGGGCACTGGAGACACCGGAGGCATGCCCCAAATGAGTGGTTCACGAAGTAACATGGGAGGTAGCGTTTCGCAGTTGTATTCATGTGGTGTACATGAAGGTCGTGCGTGAATTAACGTCTCCTAGGGAAAAGATAAAAGAAACGTCCAATTTCCACATTCCTTCAGTCAATATTTCAGTTTAAAAACTTAAATAGCAATCATAAAAGTAATAATTCTAACACATTATTTATAACATTATTTAAAGAAATATAATTTTGCAAAAAAATTATATACAATGACCTTTCAAATATACTTATTTTATTAGAGTTCTATTCCATACTTTTCATTACAACTTTTCGCAGTTTTAATGCTAACTTTTGAATTATCTAGGATGCATAACATCATGCTGATATGTAATCTATATTTATTATTTTCTAAAATTCAAAACAAAAAACGCGTTACTACGGTTTTACTATGAGGGGGGACGTTAATTTCTTTACCAAAGACGAAGTGTTTTACCTACGTTCGTCTATTATGACATTTTTAGGCATGTTATTTCTCTTAAATTAAAATGGTTTAAATTTATCGCTGTTCTCTTGCACGATCTATATTTGCTAGAGGTGTTCAAAAAATATAAAGGATTTTTCGACGAAGAGTGCCTGTCTGCAACAAGGCAGATTCCTAGAACGGGCACATCATCATTACGGCCACCTGTGTAACTGTTCGCAAGTTCAACCACACTCTGCGCCTCTAATGGGGAAGCAGAGGGCGGTGGTCGCAGGCGGCAACCGGAGCAGAAGCGTCTCGTTAGGACTGGCTCTCAATTTCCTGTTTTAATTCGACATGAGAGCGTCGGGCGCACGCCTTCGATTGCGCGTTCTTTCGCCGGGCTGTCTTCCGGTGGCCCTTTGAGGCTCCAGCAGCACAACACGCACGGTTGTTTACCAGCAATACATTCCAAACGGAGTGCCATCTCTTTATTTGCATAGCGCTCATCCCCCACCAATTTGTTCACTCCGCGACCTACATCGGGCAGGAAAACAATACATATTCACTTCACAAATAATAGACGTGTTGGAGGGTTAATTCAATGAGAAGTGCTAGTAGTAGATTGTGTGTGAAGTTAAAGGACGATGTGGGTCATATGCCAATCGTGAATATTAACGAGACAAATGGAGATATAATTTCGTTTGATTAGTGGACGGAAAGCTCTATACACAAGGCAAAAATCAAGAGATCGTAAAGGATTTGAAATTGAGAATGTGCTGGTATTATTTTCCACTATGTAATACATTTACAAGATATACCTTCTGTAATTATCAAACTGAAGATTTACCGAAGTGAAAAATACCGTAATAAGATTCTGTTAATAATTTACATTTCGATATAAGTCATTTAATCTGAAATTCAACTATCCGTCATTTGCAGAATTATCCGTTTAGTTGGAGGTAACATCTCTACAATCTGAGGAGGGTAAAATTACTTGAATATCACTTTAGAATATTCCACAAATCATTCCTGGCAGAACGCTACAATTTTTTGATGTATGCGATTGTGACTTAAAAATTAACATTTTTAGTTTCATTTTTAATATTAATTACCTATTGAGATCATCTTCATAATCTCCAGTGAGTAGATGCGATTTGATAACATTTATCAAAAAACGAACCACTGGAACTATAATGCAACGTAACTCATACGAATAAAAATAAGAACAAAATAAAAACGAGTTTAGTCTCTTCAACATTATAAAAGACTTTCCTCTTAACCCATTGCTGTCGGTATGGGTAGCTCATTCACGGAAGAGACGCGCTCGTTAACCGAGTAGTGGAATGGTGAAGGACGATTAGCGAAGGAAGGAGAGGAATAAAGATGAGGACAGTGGTACACGAAAGGGTGAGGTAAATGGAGTAGGAGTGGTCGCGAAAACGGGAGTGGACGCGAAAAAGGGAGTGGGCGCGGAAAAGGGAGTGGGCGCGGAAAAGGGAGTGGGCGCGGAAAAGGGAGTGGGTGCGGAAAAGGGAGTGGGTGCGGAAAAGGGAGTGGGCGCGGAAAAGGGCAAAGGAAAAGGAGGAGGGCGAAGCAAAGGGCGGAAACGCTTGTGCCCACGAGTGTGAACGCGGGAAGGAAGACGGGACGGAGGGAAGGAGAGCAGAGGGCCAGGGCAAGGGCGCGGGCGCGGCGCGGCGAAATGAAGCGCAATTCAGCGCATCGATCAATTAGCCGAACAGAGCGCCGCTAATTAGGCCGGCCTCCGACATCCGCCGGCGGCGCCTCCGGCTGCGCGGCGGGGGGGACGGTGCCCCACTCCGTGCGGCGCCGCTGCCGCTCCTCCACCAGGGACTTCCGCGAGACGCCGGAAGCGGCCCGC